CTGCGAAAGCCTCCGGTCAGAGTGATCCGAGCGTTCGGGTCCACACAGCGGACAGTCTCCCCGATCAAAGCCTCCACGGCCCGGGCCTCGTCGGAGCTCAGCCCCCTGCAGAGGTGCTGGTGGTGGAGGAACCCTGAGAATCACACACAACAACAACATCACACCTTTGCTCTGTGGTTTTGCAGCTTTACAGAATAGAAATATTACTGTATTCAGCCCTCCATGTTTTCTGCTTTAGTTGTTACAGTGGAAAAAGAGAGAAAACCAGACAACTTGACTGTAGTCGAGTTTGAATTGTGTGTAAAAAGCCAAAATGTTATATTTTTAGATGAAAGTTGCGCTGGTCTGTTGGACTTGGTTAGACACAAATAAATGAATATTTTGTAAAAGCTGAGAGACACAGTTCCTCCAGCCTGTCCTGGGTCTTCCCCGGGGTCTCCTCTCGATGGGACGTGCCCGGAACACCTTCCCAGGGAGGCGTCCAGGAAGCATCCGGAAGAGATGCCCGAGCCACCTCAACTGGTTCCTCTCAATGTGGAGAAGCAGCGGCTCTACTCAGTGCTCCCCCTGAGATTGACAACGGTCTGATACAGCGATCACAATAGTGCGCACGCTGCACCAATCTCATCCTTCCCTCACTGAGAACAAGACCCAGAGATACTTGAACTCCTCCACCAACAGCTCCACCAACCTTTTATTAAGTCATAGTGTTGTTTTGATCTTATATAAACAAGTTTAATCAATAATAGTAGTAATGCACGGTAAGGTAACTATGTCAAGGGCCACGTTGTCATGTAAAATGTGCGAGTGGCAAAAGCTTTTAGGCTAACATGTGTAAACACAGTGGGTCAACAAACTAAAAGTTTAGGCCATATGGAATCTATGAAGTGATAATAATGTGGATGTGTTTTGGTCTGTCAATAAAAAGCCTGTGACAAGGGGACGAGCTGGTAGTAGTGTCACAGGTGCAGGTCCAGAAGCATCTTGCCCTGCCGCTTTGCCTAAAATGTAGGATTTTGTCCAGGTAAACTGTAGCTTGGACTAGCTTTAACCTCGAATCCCAGCCCTTGTTTTCACACAGTATATACAGACTTCTATATTCAATTTTAACTTTAGATTTGGCTGCGGGTGCCAAAACACCACCTCAACTCAATCATTTACCAATTGTTTTCCCATCCAAACGTACAGCAACACACAGCCATAACTTAAAACCCAGCCATCGAACGTCAGTTTGGCTCGACATTGCCGGTCCAGCTCCTGTGGGCACCCCGCTAAACTGTGATGGATGGATTGACACGTCCATTCCAGGCATCTCTCTCTCGTCTCGCGCACACTCGACCGAAAGCGCCAAACTCACGCCAATTAATCACGGTAAACTTAATGACACGTCTGTCTGCTCCGATAAAACAAATGAGAGAGGAGAGCCACACCGCACAGACAAGAGATCAGGGTTCAAAAACATTTTCTCAGTCAAATCGCTCATAAATTCTGGGCACAGCGGCGCATTGGAGTGATGGATTGTGAGCGCGTTTGATGAAGACGCCTGTCACACGGACGCTTTTTCAGATAGACTTACAAAATAAATGGAAACCTGGACGTAATGTTGGCGATTACAGCCTTTTCCTTGCACTGTGAGCCAGCAGAGAGACGATAAGAGGCCATAGATTCTGCATATTCTTGTGTTATGTGTGAGAATTTATCGTTGTGTTGCCAGATATCAGCCTGTCAGAGAGAGAGCTTCAAAGTGCCGTGTTTTGGTTACTCGGATCTAAGGATAAGCTGAAAAATATGCGGTAAAAACCAGCTTTAAAAGGAACTAATGCTTTTAATAGTGACATTTGAGCTCTTGTAAAACATGTGCAAGTTTGTGGACAGACTCTAAATGTAGAAGGTATTAAAGGGTCTTCCAGTGTTTGTGTTTACAACGTTCTGAAGAGCTATACTTACAATTTAAAAGGCCACCACTGTGTCCTGTCAGACCCCTGTAGAGGAATTGTAATACTTTAATAAATGGATTCGAGAGAAGCAGCTTGACTTTGTGCTATTTATTAAAAAGCTGATGAGAGCCTTCACTAATATAGTTGAGAGGAGGAGAGACAAAGAACAGGAAATGTCAGGCCCAATTTAGACGGAGACGCTACAAAGCAAATAGCAAAAACAACCAGGCTTCTTATTCGAAGTGCACAACGTTAACACAACGACGGAAAACAATGTAGTTGTTGCTTGCGGCCAGTAGGGGGCCGCGGGTTAGGGTCATTCTTTCACAGCGACAGTGAAAATGGAAAGTGAAGCTACTAGACCAGAGAGAGACTAGAGAGAGACCAGAGAGAGACCAGAGAGAGACTAGAGAGAGACTAGAGAGAGACCAGAGAGAGAGACCAGAGAGAGACCAGAGAGAGAGACCAGAGAGAGACCAGAGAGAGACCAGAGAGAGACCAGAGAGAGACTAGAGAGAGACTAGAGAGAGACCAGAGAGAAACCAGAGAGAAACCAGATAGAAACCAGAGAGACAAGAGAGAGGATACAGCTGTGGTAATCCTCCTCCGTTAGCGAAGCACACGTCGCATTAGTCGACCCGCCGCCATTGTTGTTTACGTTCTACTGCGTCCAAATGTACGTGGGGGAAGTGCTGAGGTCATCAAAGCAGAGAGTTCACATCTTTCTCTGTTCAGCATCTCTGTTCTGTTCCACTCTGGAGCCTGTTTCTCAACGTTTTTACCTAAAAAAACCCAAGACCAACTCTACCGTTTTACTGTTGCAGCATCCTCGTGTAAACGGCACATCAGAGGGAGGCAAGATTCATGCTGGAAGAGAAGGTTAAACGAGCAGGGGCGGGGGAAGAGCCATGGCTGACACTTGCCATAACATATAATTCAGTCAAACCAAGAGAGAGTTTTGGTTCTGGTCAGTCTCGGCCAAGTGACCTCAGCACAGGAGGCTTTGTCCAAATGTCACCCATGGATTTTGATGTAATGATACTCTGTAATATGAATCTTGCCATAACACCCCCCGACCAATCAATGTGACATCATGGCTGATACATATGGAGGGGGGGGGGGGTCTCTCTGTCTGTGGATCTCCTGCTGCAGAGGACCAGAGCCTCTCACTCTCTCCTTGTGTGTGTTTGTGTTTTGTTTTCTGTTGTCTCTGTACAAGTCCTCTTTGCATCTATTTGGTTCAAGCCTAGTATTTTACAGATCTACTAGATTTTGGGTTATAACAGGTGTAGACACTGTATTTTTGGCCCAGGGTAGAAACAGGTTAGACACTTGAGAGACCTGAGAGAACACATTTCTCTGTGAAGTGATTTGAAAGCCAGATTTTGAGCCAGCTTTTTGACTTACTTTTACATTACATTTACACTTCTGTGCCATTTGGAAATATCCAGGGTCTAAATATAGCGGTGCATTACACAGAAAACTACATCCTCCACGGCTCCATATCTCGGGTGTCAAACCGCCGCTCCCTGGTGCATTTATATGACCTTCAATTGTGTGAGATGGATGGCCTGCTCCGTCGTCTGATGGATGAAAGCTCTTTCTCATGTTTTTATTTATTGACTTTTATGAAAAATAAAAAAAATAAAAACCATTGTATCGTCACTCCCTGTAGTACTGAAAGCATCATCTCATTTGCATTTCCATTTAAAGGAGACAATTGCAAAATGTTCTCTTTGGACCATGTTCTCTTCAGACCATGGCACAATGTTTTCTCATTATAAAGAAAATAATAAAAAAGGTGTTATACAGCGCTTTATTACTCAACGACACTCCACGCACGGTGGTGATGAAGTACTACTGTGGCCACAGCTGCCCTGAGGCACACTGACAGAAGGGAGGCAACCTAATCACCCCCTACACACACCAGACTCATTCTAGGCAATTTTGATTGAAGTGTCTTGCCTAAGGACACAACAACAGCCACTCACTGTCCATAGACTTTTCTGCATCTACAAGAAACAACCCAAAAACCGAGTGAGAAAAAGGAACATTGAGTAGAAATAAATTGGTTCCATAGACTGTTGATATTTACAGACGCTGTTGCCCTCTGTGGGTTTTTCCAAAATGGCCGCGGGGCAGGATAATGTGAAAAACTCATTTGTGCATGTGTGTGTCAGCTGCACGAGCCTAATTCATATTAAGGAGTGAATTCTGAAGTCCACCGCAGTCCACCTCCCATCAACATCGGCAGCATCTGGAACGTAGTGTTGGACCAAGAGCCACTTTTGGACCATCCTGTAAAGAGGTTTTTGAGAGGAAAGAAGACGCTCCCCTCAGGCAGAAGACTGCGGTCCATCAGGACTAGAACCTCCCGCCACAAGAACAGTTTCTTCCCCTCTGCTGTTGGACTCTTGAACACTTCTTAACCTGTCCCCCCGCCCTTTATAAAGTCACTTTACTGCCCATCATACGTCACTTTACTTCACTGTACTGCTGTCACCTTACATTGTGTGCACCATGTGCACTTGTATATTGTAAATAGTAACTGTAACTCTATTTTAAATTTACATGTATTCCCCGGTGAATGAGAGGGTCGCGTCCCTCCGCCTCCGGGTGGGGGACAAGTCTCTCATTGTTGTGACGGCCTACGGGCCTAACAGCAGTGCAGAGTACCCGGCCTTCTTGGAGTCCTTGGGAGGGGTACTGGACGGTGCACCGCCCGGGGACTCCGTTATTCTCCTGGGAGACTTCAACGCCCATGTGGGAGTCGCCAGTGACACTTGGAGAGGGGTGATCGGAAAGAACGGCCCCCCTGATTTGAACCCGAGCGGTGCTCAGTTGTTGGACTTCTGTGCCAGTCACAGTTTGTCCATCACGAACACCATGTTTGAGCACAAGGGTGTCCACCAGTGCACGTGGCACCAGGACACCCTAGGTCGGAGGTCGATGATCGACTTTGTTGTCGTATCATCTGACCTTCGACCGCGTGTCTCGGACACTCGGGTAAAGAGAGGGGCGGCGCTGTCAACCAATCATCACCTGGTCGTGAGTTGGATCCGCTGGCAGGGGAAGAAGCCGGCCAGACCTGGCAGACCCAAGCGTATAGTGAGGGTACGCTGGGAACGTCTCGCTGAGCCCCCTGTCAGACGGATTTTCAACTCGCACCTCCGGGAGAGTTTCTCCCAGGTCCCGGCGGAGGAGGGGGACATGGAGTCCGAGTGGACCATGTTCTCTGCCTCAATCGCCGATGCGGTGGCTCGTAGCTGTGGTCGCAAGGTCTCTGGTGCTGGTCCCGGCGGCAACCCCCGAACCCGGTGGTGGACACCGGCAGTAAGGGATGCTGTCAGGCTGAAGAAGGAGTCCTATCGACCCATGATGGTTCGGGGGACTCCTGAGGCAGCTGTCCAGTACCGGCAGGCCAAGCGTGCCGCGGCCCGGGCTATTGCAGAGGCAAAAACCCGGGACTGGGAGGAGTTCGGAGAGTCCATGGAGCATGACTATCGGTCGGCCTCGAAGAGATTCTGGCAAACCATCCGGCGCCTCAGGAGGGGGAAGCAGTTCTTTGCCAACACCATGTACGGTGCGGGTGGAGAGCTGCTGACCTTGACTGGGGATATTGTCGGGCGGTGGAAGGAATACTTTGAGGTTCTCCTCAATCCCCCCGTCACGTCCTCTGTTACAGAGGCAGAGGCTGAGGATGTTGGGGCGGATACATCCATCTCCCTGGCTGAGGTCACCAAGGTGGTTGGTAGCCTCCATGGTGGCAAGGCTCCGGGTGTGGATGAGATCCGCCCTGATTATCTAAAGTCTCTGGATGTTGTAGGACTGTCTTGGCTGACACGTCTCTGCAACATCGCGTGGCGATCGGGGGCAGTGCCAATGGAGTGGCAGACCGGGATGGTGGTCCCTCTCTACAAGAAGGGGGACCGGAGGGTGTGTTCCAATTATCGTGGGATCACACTCCTCAGCCTCCCCGGTAAGGTCTACTCCAAGGTACTGGAGAGGAGGTTACGGCCGATGGTCGAATCTCGGATCCAGGAGGAGCAGTGTGGTTTTCGTCCCGGTCGCGGAACACTGAACCAGCTCTATACTCTCCATCGGATACTCGAGGGTTCATGGGAGTTCGCCCAACCTGTCCACATGTGTTTTGTGGATTTGGAGAAGGCGTTCGACTGTGTTCCCCGGGGTGTCCTTTGGGGGGTTCTCCGGAAGTACGGGGTCGGGGGTCCTCTGCTGAGTGCCATCCGATCCCTGTATGACCGGAGCCAGAGCTGTGTTCACATTGCCGGCAGTAAGTCAGACCTGTTCCCGGTGAATGTTGGCCTCCGACAGGGCTGCCCTTTGTCACCGGTTCTGTTCACTGTATTTATGGACAGAATATCTAGGCGCAGTCAGGGGTCGGAGGGGGTCCGGTTCGGAGACCACAGGATTTCATCTCTGCTGTTTGCGGACGATGTTGTTGGCTCCAGTTGTTGGGCGGCACGGTGGCTGAGTGGATAGCACTCTCGCCTCTCAGCAAGAAGGTCCTGGGTTCGAATCCCGGTTGGACCAGGGCCTTTCTGAGTGGAGTTTGCATGTTCTCCCCGTGTCTGCGTAGGTTTCCTCCGGGTCCTCCGGTTTCCCCTACCACTAAAAATATGTACAATAGGTCTGGCATGTGCCTCCTGTACTGGCACCCCCACTCCCAAAAATAACAATTGTAAACCGCTTTGAGACTCCGATGTGCAGTGAAAAGGCGGTATATAAATAAAGATTACTTACTACTACTACTACTTACTCCAACGAACCAGGACCTGCAACATGCACTGGGGCGGTTTGCAGCCGAGTGTGAAGCGGCTGGGATGAGAATCAGCACCTCCAAATCCGAGGCCATGGTGCTTGACCGGAAAAAGGTGCCTTGCCCTCTGCAGGTGGGTGGAGAGGTCCTTCCTCAAGTGGAGGAGTTCAAGTATCTCGGGGTCTTGTTCACGAGTGAGGGGAGGATGGAGCGTGAGATTGACAGGCGGATCGGTGCAGCGTGCGCAGTGATGCGGTCGCTGTATCGGACCGTTGTGGTGAAGAGGGAGCTGAGCCGAAAGGCAAAGCTCTCAATTTACCGGTCAATCTTCGTTCCCTCCCTCACCTATGGTCATGAGCTTTGGGTAATGACTGAAAGAACGAGATCGCGGATACAAGCGGTCGAAATGAGCTTCCTCCGCAGAGTGGCTGGGCGCTCCCTTAGAGATAGGGTGAGGAGCTCAGTCACACGGGAGGAGCTCGGAGTAGAGCCGCTGCTTCTCCTCGTCGAGAGGAACCAGTTGAGGTGGCTCGGGCATCTGTTCCGGATGCCTCCTGGACGCCTCCCTGGGGAGGTGTTCCGGGCATGTCCCACCGGGAGGAGGCCCCGCGGAAGACCTAGGACACGCTGGAGAGACTATGTCTCTCAGCTGGCCTGGGAACGCCTTGGGGTCCCCCCGGACGAGCTGGAGGAGGTGTGTGTGGATAGGGAAGTCTGGGCGTCTCTGCTTAGACTGCTGCCCCCGCGACCCGACAACGGATAAAGCGGAAGAAAATGGATGGATGGATGGATGTAAAAAAGTGTTTTTTATTTTTATTTTTATTATCTCTTTCTGACTGTTGCACTGAGCAAAAGCAATTTCCAAGTCTGTGACTTCCTGTTACTTACGTGGCAATAAAAATGATTCTGATTCTGAATCAGAATCTCTTTCCGCGTACACCCCCACCAGCAGGAGTGAGATTGCAGCATGTCAGCGCACGTTCTCACAGATCTTTTGGAGCCTGAACCTGCTTCCTCTGCGATGTAAATATACTGCACTGTTTTTAAGCTTACAATGAGAGAGAATGGACTGATATTTAACATACAACTACCTCTGTATTTTTATACTGTAAATGTGCACATATTCGCAGAAAGGTATATTCCTGAGCACCTAAATCCAGATTATTCTATTCTCACAATATTATCTCATTATTCTTATTTTCAGATTGTTACTTTCGTGTTAATTTTGTTGTGAAATACTATGCAAGCTACTGTGAAAACGTAATAATCCTCGTGGATCAAAAAAGTCTGTCTAAGTCTAAGTCTATGATCACATTAGTCCAGTCCTCAGGTCTCTGCACTGGCTTCCTGTGGCTCAGAGAATAGACTTTAAAACAGCTCTGCTTGTTACAAGTCTCTCCATGGCCTCGCACCAAAATATATTAGTGACATGTTAGTCCCATATGAACCAGCCCGGACTCTGAGGAGCACAGGGACTGGACTCCTGTTAGTGCCCAGAGTCAGAACTAAACATTGGGAGGCTGCTTTTCAGATTCATGCTGCTAAAATCTGGAACCGTCTTCCTGAAGATGTGAGACAGGCCTCCTCTCTGACAATGTTTAAAACCAGGTTAAAAACAGTTCTGTTTAGCTGTGCATACAACTGAGGGATTTTATAATTTTATCTTTCTTTTATATGTACTGTGATTATTTATGATTTTAATGCTTTCTTATTTTGTTCAGCACTTTGAGTTGCCTTGTGTATGAATTGTGCGACACCAATAAACTTGCCTTGCCCTAATCCAAGTGTAGTTTAGTCCAAACCCTGAGTCTCGCAGTGAGGCCTCGTGTCTTGATTTAACATCTACTTAAGCGCACTTACTCGCAAACTCCCCTCAAAGAAAAGTCTTGATTTTCGGAGAAGCGTTTTGATCTGATTTGAGAATGTGAAGGAGCTCTCACCGTGCCGCTGCATCCGGGTGAGCTGGATGCCGGGGTGGGTCTGTATTTGGGGGAGCGTGCGGAGCCCTCGCTGGAACCACTTGTCTGCAGTCTTCGCTCCGACGCCGAAGACACTCGTGAACAGCTGCGAGGAAAAAGGGAGGAAATCATCTTGAGTAGTACAGCAGTGAAGAGCAGAGAGATGGAGCTAAGACACAGGAGCTAATAGAGCTAAGGAACGCATCTAACCCGGGGGGGGGTCAAAGTCATTATGGTCGGGGGCTGAAGAATAACATCGGAACTGGTCAAGGAGGAAATATTAGAAGGTATTTATTTTTCTTTTCTTATTATTACTTTTTTTCTTACATAATGAAGGCATTTTGACATGACTTTGACACAAGTTTCACTGTTATTTTCTGGTTTTTATTGTTTGGATTGAACCAAAACTGGATCAAATATAAACTTAAGCACATTTTTTTTAACCATTTAGCTGTTTGAAATTACTTACAGGGCCACTAATATTGGTTTAGCGGGCCGGATTTCTCCCACAAGCCTGAGTTTGACACGTCTGATCTCATTTATAGGTCACAAGGGCTTTCCACACATTACAAAATACAGCACAACACAAATAAAATACTGGTCCATTATCATCAAAGTTTAATTTTAGCTTGAGTTTAAAGCCAGATCAAAGAAATGTGACTTTAGCTGCAGTTTAAAGCTCTGTACATAGAGACAGTGGATCAGTTGGTAGAGATTTGGCCTTTGGGCCTGATGTCGAGGGTTCGAGCCCACCACGAGATCTACTTCACGACTCCCACTGATGTCTGCTGTCGTTGTGTCCTTGGGCAAGACACTTAACCCCACTTTGCCTGAAGCCCCCACTGACAGATCATGGCTGTGCTTTCACTGACTCAGCACCTGCAGGAGGATCAGTGAGGGGCTGGTGCTCTGTGGACTGGGTGAAGCTCTGACTGCCACCCCCCGACCCAGAAATGGATTAAGGGGAAGAAGATGGATGGAGTTTGCCAAGACAACACTTTTGTTTAAAAAGCAGAAAAAAGCTCTGTTAATGACGTCATATTAATATTATTCTCACCTTCAGCGTCTGGTACCTCTCATCAGCGAGGATTTTCTCCACTTCAGACGAGCGGCCGTACTGAAGGATTTCCTGTGAACAAAACCATAGATTTTCAATAAACTAAACCTTTAGAAAGAGTGTGTGTAGGGTTTGAGGTTGGGAGGGGCCGATGGCACAGACTGGTTTTCTAACTTCTATCAGTGTGCCCCAGGGCAGCTGTGGCTACAGTAGTGTTTGGAGTGAGAGAAACGTCTTTGAAAGTCCTAAAAAGAACTCCATAAATCATAATGTTATTATTATGACTTTAGAAACCAGTTGAACAGCGCATCACTGACCGACCTCTGATGCTCACTTCACTTTTCCCTCACGTTGAGAAGAACACTCTGGTTCTGATCTTTGGTGTCACTGGTTTCACATTTCCTGCAGGAGACACATCAGTCGCTGCCACTGTTCTCTCACATGTTCTCTCACATGTTCTCTCGCTCACACATGAGTCTAGTGTGAGTTGTGAGCAAAGGATTGGTGTAAATGGGATAATTACACCTCAGAGACTAAAGGAGCTGATGTAGATTTGTGTTTTAGAATCTCTTTCCCTCTGAGAATAGACTTTGAAGCATCTCTGTTTGTTACAAGTCTCTCCAAGTACATCTGTGACATGTTAGATCCAAATGAACCAACTGGGATTCTGAGGAGCACAGGGACTGGCCTCCTGCTGGGACTCTGAGGAGCACAGGGACTGGCCTCCAGCTGGGACTCTGAGGAGCACAGGGACTGGCCTCCAGCTGGGACTCTGAGGAGCACAGGGACTGGCCTCCTGCTGGGACTCTGAGGAGTACAGGGACTGGCCTCCTGCTGGGACTCTGAGGAGCACAGGAACTGGCCTCCTGCTGGGACTCACAGGAGCACAGGGACTGGCCTCCTGCTGGGACTCTGAGGAGCACAGGGACTGGCCTCCTGCTGGGACTCTGAGGAGCACAGGGACTGGCCTCCTGCTGGGACTCTGAGGAGCACAGGGACTGGCCTCCTGCTGGTGGCCTAGATTACGTTTGTCATTAGAATCATCTACAATTATAGATCACAAGATAAAATACCTCTGTCCGGATAAGTCCATGTTTTTCTGTGTTTTCTCCTCTCTCTCTTCCATTACCTTAAAAAACGTTCTATAAATAAGGCAACAAATACAACTTTCCATTTAACGCTATCGATGAAAACCACTATTTTTGCTGCTTTTTCGTTCCTTTGAGTAAGCCGTGGTTGGAGCCCGTCTCTGCTCAGCTTTTCTCCAAAGGTTTTTACTTCAAACATTCCACTTGTGAGTTTGGTGAGAATAAATTTAACTTTGTCGCCGCTTTGGTAAACAAGTATATTTTTAAACAAATCTACATTTCTTAGTTTAACTCTTCTTCGAGGCCAAAACAGATTCTCTTCTCCAGGAATGTTGAAGAAATAAATATATCAAGCTGAAAGACTGGACTGTTGCAACGCGAGCTCAAGTTTCTTTTCGTTCGTTAAAAGTCCGAATGATCTCAGTGAGAGCCACAAAGGTAGGTGTGTGGTTTAGACCTGTGTCGCTTTTTCGCCACAAAGGGAAACGGGAATGTGTCAAAACAGAAGGACAACAAAAAGGGAGAGAGAGAAATGAGAGACTAGAGAGATACAAGAGAGAGAGGAGACAGAGACAAGAGAGAGACCAGAGAAACCAGAGAGAGACCAGAGAGACCAGAGAGAGACCAGAGAGAGACCAGAGAAACCAGAGAGAGACCAGAGAGAGACCAGAGAGAGACCAAAGAGACCAAAGAGCCCAGAGAGACCAGAGAGAGACCAGAGAGACCAGAGAGACCAGAGAGAGACCAGAGAGACAGGAGAGACCAGAGAGAGACCAGAGGGACAGGAGAGACCAGAGAGAGACCAGAGACAGGAGAGAGACCAGAGACAGGAGAGAGACCAGAGGCGCGAGAGAGACCGGAGAGTGGAGAGAAGCACAGGGACTGGTCTCTTGCTGGTCCCAGAGTCAGGACTAAACTTGGGGAAATGGAGAAAAAATGTGAAATGAGAGCATATTAACTGGAAGCAAAGAAACGTGTTTGCTCCGATGTCCCAGCAGATGTGAGATTGTGAAAGCTCAAGAAAAAGTGATATTTATATTGTGTTGTTCTTTTTGTGGATTATTTTCTGACTTGGATCATCTTTTCAGCCGTACAGAGCGGGGGGAGAAACCTATGGACTTGTTACAAAGAGACTGGACATTGAGTTTTGCCTCTTGAAGCCTTCACATCCAATCAAAGAGCATTAGCCGCACTAGCACTAGCTTATTGTTTATTTATATGTTCAATGTGTGACCACAAGAGGCAGCGGCGTCTCGGCCAGGACTCCCTTGATCTCCTGGTTAAGCTAAAAGTATTGTGCATGTGTCTCTGTGTCGTAAAGGTCTGCACAGATGAAGACTGGTGGGATGATGGAGAGATGGAGGGAGAGAGAGAGAGGGAGGGAGAGAGAGGAAGAGGGAGGGAGAGGAAGAGAAGGAGAGGGAGGGAGAGAGAGAGTGAGAGGTAGGGAGAGGAGGATGAGAAGGAGAGGGAGGGGGAGGGAGAGGAAGAGAGAGGGAGGGAGGGAGAGAGAGAGGGAGAGAGAAAGGGGTAGAGAGAGAGAGAGAGAGAGGGGGAGGGAGAGAGAGATAGAGAGAGATGGGAGAGAGAGGGGAGAGAGAGAGAGATAGAGAGAGATGGAGAGAGAGGGGGAGAGAGAGAAGAGAGGGAGAGAGAGAAAAGAGAGGGAGGGAGAGAGGGAGGGAGAGATAGAGGGAGGGAGAGAGGGAGCAAGAGAGGGAGAGAGAGAGAGAGAGAAGGAGGGGGGGAGGGAGAGGGAGAGAGAGAGAGGGAGGGAGAGAGAGAGGGGGAGGGGAGGGAGAGAAGGAGTGGGGAGAGAGAGATGGAGAGAGAGAGAGAGAGAAAAGGGAAGGAGAGAGAGAGAGGGAGAGAAGGAGAGATAAGGAGGGAGTAATGTTCATGTTTGTGGTGGCTTTGGACTGTGTGTCTTTGTGTCTGTGTGTCTGTGTCTCTTTGTGTCTGTGTGTCTGTGTCTCTGTGTCTCTTTGTGTCTGTGTGTCTGTGTCTCTGTGTGTCTGTGTCTCTGTGTGTCTGTGTGTCTGTGTCTCTGTGTCTCTGTGTGTCTGTGTGTCTGTGTCTCTGTGTGTCTGTGTCTCTGTGTCTCTGTGTCTCTGTGTCTCTGTGTCTCTGTGTGTCTGTGTCTCTGTGTCTCTGTGTGTCTGTGTGTCTGTGTCTCTGTGTGTCTGTGTGTCTGTGTCTCTGTGTGTCTGTGTGTCTGTGTCTCTGTGTGTCTGTGTCTCTTTGTGTCTGTGTGTCTCTGTGTGTCTGTGTCTCTGTGTGTCTGTGTCTCTGTGTGTCTGTGTCTCTTTGTGTCTGTGTGTCTGTGTCTCTGTGTGTCTGTGTGTCTGTGTCTCTGTGTGTCTGTGTCTCTGTGTGTCTGTGTGTCTGTGTGTCTGTGTCTCTGTGTCTTTGTGTGTCTGTGTCTCTGTGCCTCTGTGTGTCTGTGTCTCTTTGTGTCTGTGTGTCTGTGTCTCTTTGTGTCTGTGTCTCTTTGTGTCTGTGTGTCTGTGTCTCTGTGTGTCTGTGTCTCTTTGTCTCTGTGTCTCTGTGTGTCTGTGTCTCTGTGTGTCTGTGTGTCTGTGTCTCTTTGTGTCTCTGTGTGTCTGTGTCTCTTTGTGTCTGTGCGTCTGTGTCTCTGTGTGTCTGTGTGTCTGTGTCTCTGTGCCTCTGTGTGTCTGTGTCTCTGTGTGTCTGTGTCTCTTTGTCTCTGTGTGTCTGTGTGTCTGTGTGTCTGCGTCTCTTTGTGTCTGTGTGTCTGTGTCTCTTTGTGTCTGTGCGTCTGTGTCTCTGTGTGTCTGTGTGTCTGTGTCTCTGAGTGTCTGTGTCTCTGTGTGTCTGTGTGTCTGTGTCTCTGTGTGTCTGTGTCTCTGTGTGTCTGTGTGTCTGTGTGTCTGTGTCTCTGTGTGTCTGTGTCTCAGTGTGTCTGTGTGTCTGTGTCTCTGTGCCTCTGTGTGTTTGTGTCTCTTTGTGTCTGTGTGTCTGTGTCTCTGTGTGTCTGTGTCTCTTTGTCTCTGTGTGTCTGTGTCTCTGTGTGTCTGTGTGTCTGTGTCTCTTTGTGTCTGTGTGTCTGTGTCTCTGTGTGTCTGTGTCTCTTTGTGTCTGTGTCTCTGTGTCTCTGTGTCTGTGTCTCTGTGTGTCTGTGTGTCTGTGTCTCTTTGTGTCTGTGTGTCTGTGTCTCTGAGTGTCTGTGTCTCTGTGTCTCTGTGTGTCTGTGTCTCTGTGTGTCTGTGTCTCTTTGTGTCTGTGTCTCTGTGTCTCTGTGTCTCTGTGTCTGTGTCTCTGTGTGTCTGTGTGTCTGTGTCTCTTTGTGTCTGTGTGTCTGTGTCTCTGAGTGTCTGTGTCTCTGTGTGTCTGTGTGTCTGTGTCTCTGTGTGTCTGTGTCTCTTTGTGTCTGTGTCTCTGTGTCTCTGTGTCTCTGTGTCTGTGTGTCTGTGTGTCTGTGTCTCTTTGTGTCTGTGTGTCTGTGTCTCTGAGTGTCTGTGTCTCTGTGTGTCTGTGTCTCTTTGTGTCTGTGTCTCTGTGTCTCTGTGTCTCTGTGTCTCTGTGTCTGTGTCTCTGTGTGTCTGTGTGTCTGTGTCTCTTTGTGTCTGTGTGTCTGTCTCTCTGTGTGTCTGTGTGTCTGTGTCTCTTTGTGTCTGTGTGTCTGTGTCTCTTTGTGTCTGTGCGTCTGTGTCTCTGTGTGTCTGTGTGTCTGTGTCTCTGTGTCTCTGTGTCTGTGTGTCTGTGTCTCTGTGTGGTAAAGGTGTGTACAGATGAAGACTGGATGATGGCTGCAGTGACCTGTATGAGCCTCCGGGGGCGCCCTCCCACACAGGGCAGGCTCTCAGTGCTGCTCAGGCTCTCGATGGTCCAGGACAGACTCTTCAGGACCGACGCTGCTCTCCTGATGCCCACACTCTGATCCTGCCTCCCAGAGAGCTCCCAGTGCTCTGCCAACACCTCCAGGGCGTCCTGCAGGGGGAGAGAGAGAGAGAGGGGGAGAGGGGGAGAGAGAGGAAGAGAAGGAGAGGGAGAAAGAGGGAGAGAGAGAGGAGGGAGAGGGAGAGAAGGAGGTAGAGGGAAAGAGAGGGAGAGAGAGAGGAAGAGAAGGAGAGGGAGAAAGAGGGAGAGAGAGAGAGGAGGGAGAGGGAGGAGACGCAGAGAGAGAGGGAGAGAGAAGGGGAAGGAGAGAGGGAGAGAGAGAGGAAGAGAACGAGAGGGGGAGAGAGAGAGTGAGAGGGAAAGAAGAAGAGAGAGAGAGAGAGAGAGAGGAGGGATAGGGAGGAGACGCAGAGAGAGAGGGAGAGAGAAGGGGAGGGAGAGAGGGAGAGAGGGGGGGGGAGAGACAGAAGAAGAGAAGGAGAGGGGGAAAGAGAGGGAGGGAGAGAGAGAGGAAGAGAACGAGAGGGGGAGAGAGAGAGTGAGAGGAAAGAAAGAAGAGAGAGAGGAGAGAGAGAGAGGGGAGAGAGAGAGAGAGGAGGGAGAGAGAAGGGGAGTGAGAGGGGGGGAGGGGGAGAAACAGAAGAAGAGAAGGAGAGGGGGAGAGAGAGAGTGAGAGGGAAAGAAGAGAGAGAGGAAGAGAGGCAGAGAGAGAGGAAGAGAGAGAGAGGAGGGAGAGGGAGGAGACACAGAGAGAGAGGGAGAGAGAAGGGGAGGGAGAGAGGGGGGGAGACAGAAGAAGAGAAGGAGAGGGGGAAAGAGAGGGAGGGAGAGAGAGAGGGAGAGAGGGGGGAGGGGGGAGAGACAGAAGAAGAGAAGGAGAGGGGGAAAGAGAGGGAGGGAGAGGAGGGAGGGAGAGGAGGGAGAGGGAGGAAGAGAACGAGAGGGGAAGAGAGAGAGTGGGAGGGAAAGAAGAAGAGAGAGAGGGGGAGAGAGAGAGGAAGAGAGGCAGAGAGAGAGGGGGAGAATTTATATTTTATTGTACAAACATATCTTGCACAAGAGAGACCATAGTTTAACCTGTTGTTTAAATGGTTACACACTTCTTTTCTTCCTCTTTTTGCACAGCTCTGAGTGATTCTGTTCAAACCAAATGTGACGCGGACGTTTCTCCATCGAGAGTCTTACAATAAGTTCTTCGAGACAGTTTGAGGTTAAAACTATTGTGTTGTCATCTGCAATCTATGTTTTTACAATTAGATTAGGAGCAGAAAAGTTTAAATGTGAGGAGTGAAAGTAACAAAAGTTTAAGTAAACTATAGTAAAGAAAACAGAAAAAGTACCGCAACTGACAAATCTTTATGTCTTTGGTAATGAATAGTATAAAAAGTATAGATTCCAAAAATAAACATATACTGAGATCAAAGAGAGATCTCACCGTAAACATTTTTTAAATCAAGGGAGAAACCTGACACAGTTTCGTCACATTAGCACTTGTTCCTCTTATAGAAGGAGACGTCACTCTAAATACTCCTGAGTGTCGTGCTACAGTGTGAGAGGAAGTGATAATTTACCGACTTTTTCTTTCGCTAAACCAGGAAGTGAGACCTGACGAGTCCCCTTTTCATCTACTTTCCTCCAACTTTCAACCGGAAGATTTCTAAGATTTAAAACTATGGTTAATCTATGGTTTTGAATTATGTTTTCATCTGTAGAATATTAAATGTATTGGAAAATACACAGCACACTCGGATAGATGTCCAAAAGATCTAGTATTTATTTATTACGTTTCGGCCTTAGCCTTCGTCAGATCATTTTTATCTTATTCATCTGTAGAATAACAATAAGACACATGGGAGCCTGGACCACACAGCCTCAGTCCTGGGTCTACAGCCTCAGTCCTGGGTCTACAGCCTCAGTCCTGGGTCTACAGCCTCAGTCCTGGATCTACAGCCTCAGTCCTGGATCTACAGCCCCAGTCCTGGATCTACAGCCTCAGTCCTGAGTCTACAGAGTCTACAGCCTGACTCTGGCCAGACCCATGTAGTCCGCTGCACTTCACACATGAGTCTGGTACTGAGCCATAGTGGTTGGATTTCAGAAGGCAGGGCCTTGTAAAAAAATCCTTGTATGTGATTGGATAGACCACTTGTCCGTTATCTTGAATGAAGTCTGCTTTCGACCACTCACATCGAAGCACACGGCTCCCATAGGTTGCCAAATCCCAGCAAGATTTTCCAACCCAAAATCTGCGAGAATACCCAAAAAAAAAAAAAACACTCAGAACGATTTTTTAGCTAAAAACGTAATGTAATCAACTTGGGCTATCATGATTCTGTTTATTGTCTTTCTGTTTATTTAATACCTACATGTCCCTTGGAAAAAAAATATGCGGGAACCACCAAACCTGGCAACCCTGCTGCATAGTGTGTAAACAGGAACACTGAACCAGTGCTTCAACCAAACTTTACAGGAACATTTGACTCTTAAAACACACATATATCAACATAGAACCATCTACATCTCGCCTCAAATTGCATTAAAAGTGACATCCGTGTCTTAATTCGATCGTATTTACTCTTTTAAAAAGATTCGCGGACTTTACGTCCGCCATCTGTAATCCGCTGGATTTACAGCCTCAGTCCTGGATTTACAGTCTCAGTCCTGGATCTACAGCCTCAGTCCTGGATTTACAGTCTCAGTCCTGGATCTACAGTGTCAGTCACAATCGTCCAGGGCAATACTAAAATATTGATACACAAAATAATCTTACTTTATTTTTTATTATATTTTATTTTATAATAAAAAAATCTTACTTTTTTATCGCCCGGTTTTACCTATTTACTGTGTTTGTGTGTGTGTGTGTGTGTGGTTGTGTGTGTGTGTGTTTGTGTTGAGCGTTTTGCGTTTGTTGATGTTGTGTCTTTTGTATAGTTCTTACTACTACTCTCTTTGGCTGTAACTATGGATCAAATAGATAAGTCTTCTTTTTTACATCTTTAGAATAAAAAACGCTTAATCCATAGTAAATTTTGTTGTGGTTTTGTAAATACCAAACCCCAGCTTTAAGTGGAGAAAACTGTCCCACAATTTCTGCTCATAAGTTGTAGTTGTAGCCGTTCAGAATTCCCCTCTGGGATCTGCAACTTCCTAGATTTCTGTGTTCGCCAAACCCTCCAAAACTGTCAAAGTGAAGCAGCTCCTCGAAAAACACTAAACCCACAGAGATCGATTCTCAAAACACAGAAGCAGAGCCGTTGTTGCGCCTTCTCTGGGGGCAAACCGCCTGGACTGACTACATTTGTCAAAGCTTAAGTTTTAGTGAAGTCTGCTACTTTTGCACAGAGCCTTAGGTCCAGACGGAGTCCATTGAAAATCCTAGACTCGGACTCGGACCGCGGCGGCTCCTTCTGGAAGCCTCGGGCCAAATGTTGAACCAGCCAGTCTGTTGTCTCCCACCGGCTGTTGTGTGAAAGTGCTGCGGACAAAAACAACTCGTACGTTCTCAGCTACAGGGCTCTTTCTGAAGCATATAAAGTTTCACCTGAGGCCGTCTCACAAAAGCACAACCTTAAAGCTCAGGTCCGTAACTCTTCTTTTTCATAAATTATGCATTTTGTTTGTACCACCAGAAAGAGTGGATAAAGTATAGTATAGAGACAGGTCGGACCACAGCATGTTATTGGCTGAGTGGGGCAGTGGTTAGCTATTGTGCTTCAGGTCCTGGGTCCAGGTCTTGCTCTGTGGAGTTTTGCATGTACTCCCAGTGTCTGTGTATGTTTCCTCCAGGTGCTCCGGTTTCCCCTACCACTACAAACGTGTACAATAGAAATGATATCTCTGTGTGGAGTGAGAGACAAAAGCCCAAAAATAAACACTTACTCTTAGAGCCCTCTTTGTCATATGAATGTTTTATTATCTCAGTATTTATTCCTTTGAGCATCTGTTAAATCACAAAAAAGTCGGTCGATTGGAGACACACACGGTATCCATACAGAGGATTCCAAGGAGAGAGCTGGGGTCTGCAGACCTGACCAGAGCTGCTGGGTCTGGGTCAGTGAGCAGCGAGAGGCCTGATCCAATCACCACTGCCCCATGGAGAGACTGTAACACACACATACACGTACACACACAAACATACACAAGACTGTTACCTACACACACACACACATACATATACAAGACTGTGACCTACACACGTATACACACACACACACACATACACAAGACTGTGACCTACACACATATACACACACACATACACAAGACTGTGACCTACACACACATACACAAGACTGTGACCTACACACACACACACACACACACACATACACAAGACTATGACCTACACACATATACACACACACACACACATATACAAGACTGTGACCTACACACACACACACACACACACACACAAGACTATGACCTACACACATATACACACACACACACACACATGTATACAAGACTGTGACCTACACACATATATACACACAAACACATACACAAGACTATGACCTACACACACAAACACACACGCACACACATACACAAGACTGTAACCTACACACACATACACAAGACTGTGACCTACACACGTATACACACACACACACACACACACAAGACTGTGACCTACACACATATACACACACACACACACATATATACAAGACTGTGACCTACACACATATACACACACACACACACACACATATATACAAGACTGTGACCTACACACACACACACACACACACATATATACAAGACTGTGACCTACACACATATATACACACACACATACACAAGACTGTAACCTACACACATATACACACAAACACATATATACACAAGACTGTGACCTACACACACACACACACACACACACACACACACAAGGCTGTGACCTACACACACACACACACACACACACACATATACACAAGACTGTGACCTACACACACACACACACACACACACACATACACAAGGCTGTGACCTACACACACACACACACACACATATATACAAGACTGTGACCTACACACATATACACACACACACACACACACACACATATATACAAGACTGTGACCTACACACATATACACACACACAACGTTAATGATTCCTTTTCAATTACATCTGTTTTCCTGTGACATGATCTTGTTGATATTTGACACATTGCAAGGTGGGGAGGGGGGGGGCTTACATCAAAATCATTGCCGTAAATAAAAAACATGGACAACAGAATCCTCACAAGAGTATGATAGTATGAGCACTCCCCAGTTCTGTGTTCACTTGATTGACGCTTAGTTTCTTTACAAATCACATTCAAAGTCCTTGAGTTAGCAGTCCCTTCTTCTTAAGTTTTGTTTATTTCTTACTTTTTTGTAAATATCTTGAGCGTTCAATCTATAATTTTCATCATCCATTTTCTTTATTTTCAATGAGAATTCTGCTTTGCCAGAATGTAAGATGGATGTAAAAATCACCGCGGTAACAGAACACCCCAATGGATTCTATCTCCATGGCAACAGAACTTAGTGATCACATTGGAATCATTACGTCATCACGGTCTGCTGTGTTAGTGTGTGTGGTGTCTGTGAATAGAGTCAAACAAAAATCGAGCCCGGTCAGAAATTCAAGTCCCACGGTTTAAACCAGGCTGAATACAACTGAGGAAAATGGCATGTTTTAGAAGGAGATCAAAGAAGGAAGAGCTCATTGAAGAGCTTGAACATCACGTGTTGATGTTGGAGAAAGAACACAAGAAACTATTGGAGGACCTGCAGAGGGAGAAAATGCAGATGGGCGAGCTGGAGAAGACTCAACTGGATGAAAGTCGCCAACAGTTGGAGCAAGTGAGCCAGCTCCAGACTGAGAGATCTGCCCTGGAGACTGCCCTAATGCAGTCAGAGAAGAACTCTACCTCTACCCAAGACAGACTGGATTTTACCATCCAGGAGAAGACTGTACTCCAAGAGGAACTGCAGAAGGCCCTTGAGGACATTAAGGCCTTGGAAACTGCGGGTAAAATGTCTGCTAAAAAGACAGACACAGTTATTAGAGACCTACTGGATGAGCTTGCTCAGGTCAAATCTGAGAACAATGAGACGATCGACCTCCTGAACTCTCGTTTACAAGAAGGTAACAGTTTCATTGACGAGCTCAAGACCCAAATGCAGGAGAGAGAGACGGTAAAAACCCGGTTGGAGGAACATCTGGCAAACACCCAGAAAGAGTTGGAGGAATGTAGGACAAATTTCTTCTTGAAAAACTCTGCAATTGCCGAGCTGGAGGCAGAAAATGGGAAACTCACAGCTCTCTGTCGAAGGTTCAAGACAAAAATACTGGACATGGAACAGCATTTAAAAAATGAACGAGTTTTGTCTGAAAAAACACTTCTTATGGCCCAAGACAAACACACGAATGAGGTGGAGG